TTGGGTCAGTAATTTAAAAAAAATTTTAATTTGTGATTTTAAATAAATGGTCAGTATTTAAAATAAATCATCGGTACGTGATATAAGTGGACAGTATTACATGCATGATTAATGAAACAATTGTCAGTATTTTTGTGAAAATATTAACAAACATAATAATTTGCCGGTGTTTTAAATAGATGTTCAATGTGCATAATAAAATATCGAAAATTTAAATTTTACTGACCAAGGAACAAATCAATAGCGACCGAATAAAGAAAATTGTACCGACAAAATGCTGATAATTAATTATTTATACCGATGGAAATATTCATCTTTATCGACTGTTTATTGTAAAAAATACTTACTGTTAATTTTAAAAAAATACCGACCAAATAAATAGATGTGGATTATAAAATATTACAGTTGAAATTGGTAAATACGAATAATTTAACTTACAGCACAGACTTATTCTACTGAAATGAGTAATTAGAAGTAACCTTGCCTCGTTGATTTATCGATGCTTAGAACATCTTCCAATTATTCAAACAACTTGCAGTTACCGTTCAAGTAACGGTGAATTTCTGACTGAAATTCTTGCAGGAGCGGACGGTCCTAAAGGACGTCAAGGTCAGATCGGTGTCGAAGGTTACCCAGGACAACCAGGACATCCTGGGGTTCCTGGTGCATCACTTTCGGGTCCTGTAGGATTCCAAGGATACCCTGGAATGCCTGGAGATCAAGGCCCACGCGGTCCAGCGGGTGCTCCAGGACCGATGGGACTTACCGGGCTTCCGGTGAGTGTACAAGAAGTAAACTCTGATAAGTGGAAAATACGAAGTACAAAAAAGAAGGAAAAATACTTTATTCACTACGTTAACTTGTTAAGGCGATTAAATTCCTTATTGCACAAGGAAAATATTTTTCAAACTTGAACCTACTTTTCACAAGAAGAAATTTGATTTTTATACTCGTGAAGATTCATTAGACAGATATTTCTAATTTCGTATTTTCGTTATCAGAGAATTTTTAATCGAGAAATAAATCCTCCACATAGGTGATTACCCGTTCGATATTTCCAGGGTCGCGCAGGGAATAAAGGTGATCGTGGTGAGCCAGGTTCGAATCAAACCTTTGGCGACTATGGGCTACCAGGTATGTTTGGTGAAAAAGGAGACTACGGTGAAGCTGGACCAAGAGGTCGTCCTGGTAGAATCGGAATAGGCGGGCCAAAGGGTAACAAAGGTGGCAAGGGTGCACCTGGTTTCGAAGGACAACCTGGTCTTCAGGTATAATCGCAGGTTTTTTAATAGAAATACAAGAGAGTACAGGTAACGTGTGATTTCTCGAGATTAAAGTGAGAAAATCGATCAACAGGGAGCTAAAGGTGTACGAGGAGATACTATTCAAGGAGTTAGAGGACTTCATGGATTAACCGGCCAACCTGGAATGCCTGGAAAAGTGGGAGACGTTGGTACTCTCGGTACGACAATTTGATATCTACAAATTTTTCTAGCAGATCGCTTTGAAAGGTCTTCCTACTGCGACGGGTTTAAAAAATTGATTTTTCTTTGCATTTTCTTATAGTTTGATACCTTGAAAATATGTCCACCAGGCCAGTTACGTTGGTTGACTTAAAAGCTAATTTATGTCAGATTTGCTACACTAAATTTACAAATTTATAATTTGTCGGCCAGTTATGTTAGGATATAATAATTGAAAAACTGATTTATGTCAGATTTGATACACTAAATTTACAAATGATACCTTTGAAATATTTCGCTCTTTTTGACAAAATAATTGTCTCATCTCGATAGTGATCTGCTTTCACATAATCCCCGCATGTTTTGCGAATAATCGGTACCACTATTAAAGCGTGTAAAACATGCATGTACATTGTTGAAATATCATTGGCATTCGGAATTTGTTAAGTTTGCATTTCCTCACGTGTATACTACAATAGGGAGAACGCGTGTATCGAGAGAGGCGTGTTCGTTGCTTGTTTATTGCGTTCATGCGTTACTACTAATCCTTGTTTATCGTGACCTAACAGTTCCATGAATTGTCGAAATTGTTTCGAAAGGGATGCACCGTAGAGAATCGCTCCATATGCTGATTAGATTTCCTCATGCATTTTAAAGTAATCGGATTTAAATAGCGTTAATTGCCGTTAAACAATATAATTCATGTGAAGAATGAAGAAAATAATTTAAAATATTATTACATATTTTTCTTCTCAAAAATTGCATAATTTAGCGATCACCGTAAAAACTGACAAACTAGAAAAATTGGGGACTAGGGGAACACTGAAAAAATATTTTTATTGCACAGTAACATTGACAATATTCTATAATATTCCAAAAAAATCTATCAAAGAGATATCCTAAACACCAAATTACTGTAAACGTACACAACATTTCCGTTGCGGCAGAATTTTAGTACGCAACGTGCAAATTTTGAACCGCAAAATTGATTATTTTCGCGTGTATCGTTTTAAAATTCTTATAGAAGTGCCTAAAGCATTAAATTAAGGTGAAAATGCACAGTGCGAGAAAATTCTCCAAACGCCTCTAGGCGCCAATAGCAACAAAACTGTCGACAAATTAAGAAAAAGAAAAACAATTGAATAATTCATCAAAATCGCCTGTAAAAAGCATCGAAAATACTTCTAAAACACATGAATCCTTTGCAGGTCTCGACGGACCACCTGGGTTCGACGGAATGAAGGGACTGAAGGGAGAAGTCGGTTTGATTGGACGTCGAGGTGGCGACGGTGACGATGGACCAATGGGTTACCTAGGCAGAGACGGTTTACCTGGTATGCCTGGCCGACCTGGAATGGACGGTGATGTTGGTGAGACTGGCGAACATGGTCCACCTGGCTGGATCGGCCTCGAAGGATATCCCGGACCAATAGGACCTAAGGGAGAGGGAGGAGTAATTGGTACACAAGGTCCTCCAGGAAGGTTAGGACAACGTGGATACAAAGGAATCCCTGGAGACCCTGGTCCAGACGGTTTCAAGGGACTTCCGGGTGAGAACGCGTTCAGCGGACAACAAGGCGACATAGGTGAGCCTGGTTTCATGGGCGAAGTCGGAGCTCCTGGATTCCCCGGCGTGGATGGACGACCTGGTTTACCTGGTGAGCCAGGTTTAGCTACCCATGGGTTCGATGGTCTACCAGGAGAAAAAGGTGAATCTGGTTATGACGGATTCAATGGAATACCTGGTCTAAAGGTAAGTTGCTCGCTAATGAGACAATTTGTTGTAATTTTAGAAAAGTTTCTTTATTTTCTGTTACTCCGTTGATTGGTTTCTGTGATTTTATTAGTACGGGATTTGAATGATTATTATTCGTGCTCTATTAGATCCTCCTGAAAGTTCCCGCGGTTTTAGCCAATTAGAATTTTTATATACCCAGAATTAACCCTCGTACGACAATTGCAGGGTCATTTTGACTCAACGGCGATAAAGTCAGACGGCTCGGATTACGTTTGGTACAGGAAATACACCTATTTTACGTATCAAATGTAAATCACTTATGCACAATTCCTTCTTAAAACCCGTGTACGATAGAAACGTTTCTCTGGGTCAAAATGACCCTGCATTCGTCTCCCACGTCCGTCTAAAACTACTCGCCTTCCGAGGGTTAATTCTCCTGTAACGCGTTGACAAAAGTGTACGGAACATTACAGAGATGTTCTAAAAGTATTAGATCCTCTGAAATATTAGAATTTTTCGTATTGGACGTTGCAAAAATAAATTTTAAATAAAAAAGTTTTTTTCCAAGTGAACGACTTAAAACCGCGGGAACTTTCAGGATGATCTAATACTTACAAATTCATTCTGACGAGAATGTTTACATTAAGGAACCTCAAAAAATGTGCAGTATTGCTAGAATGTGTTAATTCTCTTTTAATAAAGGGAGAAATAGGCGACATGGGACCAGATGGACTGAAAGGAGAAAGAGGAGACTGGGGATTCAAGGGATGGCCTGGATTCATCGGTAGAAACGGTAAAAACGGCCCGAAAGGTGAACGAGGTCTAACGGGACAACGTGGTTTCAATGGTACCAAAGGTGACAGAGGATTGGACGGTGATCCTGGTCAAATGGGTATGCCAGGTAAGTTTCACAGTTTCAAATACTATAAATCATCTCGCTTGAAATCATAAGAAATCAAACCAAACATATATCACATTGATAATTCTTAAATACCGTCCAGATTATCAGTCTACAGTTCGAATGTTCAACGAATACCGTCGATATCTGTCACATTTTCACCGTTTAACTGCAAAGTATTCGAAAAGTGGAATACAGGTTAAGGTATCGCACTCTGCAAATTTTGTTCTTTAAGGTCCCAGAGGATTGCCCGGTTTGACGGGAACACCGGGACCGAAAGGATTCGTTGGTGAACCTGGTCTGCCCTCGTACGCCGAAGCAGACAAGGGTGATTTCGGAAATCCTGGTCTTAACGGAGTACCCGGCGAAAAAGGAAAACGGGGCGATGAAGGTTTAACAGGATTACCTGGTCGCAAGGTGAGCACACACTGCTGAACACACGCGTATAATTTTTTCAATCATTTGTCATCGCCTGAGAAAATTGAAAATTAAAAATGGACGAACGGTGAAGAATGAGCGAAACTATTCGCTCGTTAAGGGTGTCTTTATGGAACCGAATTGAATAAATTCATGTTCGTAAAGTACAGACACCGTGATCCACGGTCTACTTGACCCTTTGACTACTGGCCACTCAGAAGTAAAGTGCTCGCTGTGTAACGAAACATGTTTAGGAATTAAGTTACCGGTATAATTCACTTATTTGATCGATATTCTGTATTTTATATTTATAGAACGAAGGATGTATAAGGTGAACCATGTGATCGTGTTTGAAATTTTGCTGTTAGTGGGCAGATAGATATTTTTTTCTTTGTTGTATATGGTTCGAAGAAGCCCCTATTTTATCAGCTTTTTTAACCATTTGAAGTTCTATGTCGTATCGAATATTGTCTTCAGATATCGTAGAACGATAAATTATAAATTATAAACGATAATAAACCATTTTCTTATGCATTTTAGTGCTGAAATTTAATATTTTATAGCTAATATTACGCTGAAATATTGAAATAAAGAGTGTCGCCAAGTCCAGTGCTGACTAACTGGACTATTCGGACCGCAAAGGGTTAAATTTTCTAGATCATCTTCAGCTTTTTACAAGAAAATCTACAATTCTTTTACATCAAAAAATATTTTGTTCTTCATCTGAAGTTTATCTACAAAAGAAACTAAAGATAACCTTCAGCCAAGTATTCTACAATCATCCTAAGGACCTCTTTAACACGTTAAGCGCCATGTCAGTCACCGGTGACTGACACTATACTTTCCGTTCGGACCGCGTCAGTCACCGGTGACTGACGATATACTTTCCCGTTCGGACCGCGTCAGTCACCGGCGACTGACACTATACTTTTCGTTCAGGCCGTGTCAGTCACCGGTGACTGACGATATACAATTAAAAAAATTATATCCTTCTATTGATAAATTTTAAATAATTTGGAGATCATAAAAGAATGTACCTAAATGTTACTTGTTACAAAAAAAAAGTTTTAATGAGTATTATTAAAACACATGTAGTCTTATCGCAACCTTACACAGATCTCCGGCCGCCAGCATATCGGTGAAATCGGATATCGCGGGCTAAACGGAAAGGAAGACAAAACAGGCTTGGCGCTTAACGTGTTAAACCCTATTATGCGAAATAAAGAACGTTCCGATCGATCCACTAACGACAGAATAATTTCGAATGATCCCGTTACGCGGTTCATCCTGCGTAATATTTAAAAGCGAAGATAGCGTGATCGATTACTATTGAACGGCTATAGACGCTGATAGCAGTCATTGGGTCAAATAACGACCAACTTGTTTATTCAATTTACGTGAGAAATCCGATCGAAATGATAACGCAAGGGGATTTAACTTATAAACGAAAGTCAATGAAATGATTCCAGGGTGAGAAAGGTGACGTGGGATTGTATGGACCCGATGGATTCCCAGGTATATCAGGATCCCCTGGTCCACAAGGTGACATAGGACCTCCAGGTTACCCAGGTAAAAATAAAGCACATTTCTGATTTCAAACAGTACGATTAACCCTCGTACGCTTCTCGGGTGAAAATTCACCCATAGCCACTTTCCAGATCCTGTACTATGCTTGATTTCTTTCTGAATGTGTTACAACTTCGTGTATTTGAAATTCACAAATTTAACTAACTTTCAATGAAACGTAGTGTAAAAGATTACCAATAACGTCAAGCAAAATATAGAGCGACAATGGGTGAAATCTCACCCGAGGATCTCTTGCGTAACTATTTCTGAGGAACGTACGAGGGTTAAAAGCAAACGATCTCCGATCGAGTATTTATATTAATTATATTATCATTTAGGATTACCTGGTATATCCCCGGAACCTGGTGAACCTGGACAACCTGGATTGGACGGAGCACCTGGTATTCCAGGAATTCCAGGTCAAAAAGGCGCTCCTGGGGAATATGGATACACTGGTCCCAAGGGAATTCAAGGAGACATTGGTTTTACCATTCGTGGTCAGAAAGGACTTCCGGGAGATCGTGGTAACCACCCATTTTTTTCTTGAATGTAGTCACAATTTCACGAAACATTATTTTTCGTACATTTCGCATTTTTATCCAAGTGTTACAAATTCACGCTGTGAAATCAAATTGAATCTTCGAAACTGCAACACTCTTCTGATTTTTAGCAACTTGAAACAGAATTTTGCGAACTTTAAGCAGAAGTTTAATAAGGAAAAAATATATAGTATTCGCAAGTTTAGATAAAACCGCAAAATTGTGTTTGATAAATCTAGAACAATTCAATTAAATCAGAAAACACTTTAACTAGAACTCTTGAAGAGAAAAATGCGTTCACATGGTAAAGACAATAATTTCACTTTAAATTAATTAAATAAATTATCAAATACACGATATAGCAATCTTTATATTACCAAATATATTTTTATTAATTATTATAACTTCAATTGGAGTTACTTTTTTTAATTTCGTAAGAACGTGAAGTTTTAGCATATATTGAAACACAGAATGATCTAAATAAAGTTGATTTTAAAGAATTATTACAATAAATTCATTTCTAAAGAATGACTTCTAATTAAGTTCTAATTAAAGTTTCGTGCATTTTCATGTTTAGGTGCACCTGGTTTCGACGGCTGGCCCGGTATTCCAGGATTGAAAGGGATGCCAGGTCTTTCTGGCCTGAAAGGACCAAAAGGCTATATGGGAGACCGCGGAAAACCTGGATACTCGATTGCAGGACGACCAGGAGATCTAGGATTGCCTGGATTAGATGGCGACAACGGAGCAAAGGGACAAATAGGTGATTTCGGTATTCCAGGATTTAATGGACCACCAGGACCAAAAGGAGAACACGGTGATTATGGACAACCTGGTTACCCTGGTCCAGCAGGTCCGCCAGGACCAAAGGTTCGTCATTTCAGCCATTATTACGTTCAATATACAGGGTCGGCCACGTAAAACAACCACCTAATTATCCTCTCTAGTTACGGTGCTACGAGACAATTTTTATACGTAATTTAAATAATTTCAAAAGGTGAATAAGGTCGGAAATCGGAAATTGTCATTTCAGGGTGTGTTGCCTTTTAAGTAAAATTCTAAATAAATGTTAACATCCTGTGAAAATGAATCTAACGCCAAAATTAATAATAAAATACGTTCAAAATGTACATTTGCTATCGGCAGAAAAATAAATATCAATCAGAAAATTTTAACTGTTCACTTCACAGGGGCCAAAAGGAGAACGTGGATTCTCACATTTCCCAATGAAAGGTATGCCTGGTGATAGAGGACCCCCAGGACTGCCAGGTAACAAAAACGAAACAGAAATAATAGAAAATAACTGAATGTAATAATAACATAATACAATGAAATAATGCGAATGATTCTTGATACAGGTTTCCCAGGGGTAGAGGGAATGAAGGGAGAACCAGGATATGATGGAATACCAGGACAAGAAGGAGAACCTGGAATGGCTGGACGTGTAGGTATGCAGGGCCCAGACGGTGATGAAGGTGCTCCTGGTTATTCTGGTTCACGCGGTTCCGTTGGAATACAAGGTCCTGCAGGTGAGGAACTAACTACTAATTAACGAAATACAGCTGTTAACCCTTGTGTAGGCAAATCAAAATATTCACAGTTGTTCGAAACTTTCATATTTAAAATTGTTTGCACAAATTTTTTTATTCTGGAAACCTATATCGACGTAAAGATGGGGGAAAAATGGGGATCCAGAGCGATTTTATGATACTTTCACAAGAAAATAAAACACTTTTGAAGGACAATACAGAAATGGATTCTCGATTGTATATATAAGGGTTAATGATAATGGACACGTTAAGCGCCAAGCCTGTTTTGTCTTCCTCTCCGTTTAGCCCGCGATATCCGATTTCACCGATATGCTGGCGGCCAGAGATCTGTCTAAGGTTGCGATAAGACTGCATGTGTTTTAATAACTCATTAAAATTTTTTTTTTGGTAACAAGAAATATTTAGGCACATTCTTTTATAATCTCCAAATTATTTAAAATTTATTAAGAGAAGAATATAATTTGTTAAATTGTATATCGTCAGTCACCGGTGACTGACGCGGTCCAAACGAAAAGTATACTGTCAGTCACCTGTGACTGACGCGGTCCGAACAGAAAGTATAGTGTCAGTCACCGGTGACTAACATGGCGCTTAACGTGTTAAAGGTTGCACGGAAGTATCTAACGAATACTAGGAGAAAAGAATTATTAAATAGGTAATGTTGTATTACAAGTATAGAAATGTAAATTGTGAGTTTGTAGGATATCCTGGATTACCAGGCGCGCCAGCACCACCGGCGCCAGGACCACGAAACAGAGGCTTCTACTTTGCTAGACATTCGCAATCTGAAATGATACCAATATGTCCGAAGAACAGTGTGAAACTCTGGGACGGTTTCTCCTTGCTACACATAGTGGGCAATGGAAATCCTTACGGGCAAGATCTTGGTAAGAAGGAATAAGGAAATGTCGGACAGTTCACTTATTGTTAGCAAATTAAATGTAAATGAAAATGTGCTTCGTCTGTAAAGGATAATTTGAAATTCATCGAGATGAATTTCAATCTACGACTCCTCAATCTTTAAAAGGTTGTATTTTTTCGGGACAATTTTGAAATCCAAAAAATGATACGTATCTCTTACATTTTTCATATTTGATAATCACACTCTTAGGCTGGTATGAACTTTGACATGTGAACCGTTAATATTTACAAATTCAGAATTCATGAGATGCAACATGTTACCACCATTTTTCAATCCACAATTCTCAATCTTTGAAAAGTTGCATTTTGTCAGAACAAATTTATATCCAACAAATAATGAGAAATTGTGAAAAAATGTTATCTCGTATAATCGATTTTACAAGAAACATACGACGAGTAACATGATTCGAAAATATCGCTACTTCCAATGGATTCATTCCCTTCAGGTGCCGCCGGAAGTTGTCTCAAGAAGTTTTCCACCATGCCATTCATGTTCTGTAACATCAACAACGTGTGCGATTACGCGAATCGTGAAGATTACAGCTACTGGCTGAGCACGACAGAACCCATGCACATGTCAATGGCGCCGATACCGGCACCGGAAGTCGGCAGATACATCTCCAGATGTTCCGTTTGCGAGGCTCCAACTCGGGTGATCGCAATTCACAGTCAAACGATGTCTATACCACAATGTCCGGGTGGTTGGGAGGAACTTTGGGTCGGATACAGTTTCCTAATGGTTGGTATACATTCTAAAAAGATGTTCGCTCGCAATGGCTTTAAGAAATCGATTCGTTTTCAATTTTCTATTAAAGTAGGTATTCTGCTGAAAGAATTTTTGACAAATTCCAAATATTAGTTAGAAATTTCGAACATCATAGTTAACTAGACGTTATTTTGAATTTAAAAAAAAAGCAATAATAATAAAGCATAATATATCACTTAAAATGCCGGCTATTTTGTTGGAAACGACTTAAAGCGCCGCAATATTTACGAGTTTTGCAGAAACATGCACTTTTACAAAATAAAATTAAATAACTCGGGCAAAACACCAAATTTCGATTCAGAAATTTTGCATAGTGCTTACTACAGGCACAGCGATGATTTTTAACGATATAAATATTCAGCCACTTGCTGTTCAAGGGATATCATATTTTTTTCTGCACAAACGTGTAAAAACGCATTTAGGTGGGCCCGGCGCTTAACCCCTTAACTTATAGCAACGTCTCAGACTCGTGTCAGAGATTCTGGTGAAGATGTGATAAAAATCGTTATATTAGTAAGAAAAATTCATTGTACTCCTAACTTTCGTTTGAATTCGTAAGACTGAGGACTACTAAGGCTACTACTGATACCGTAGTAAAACAGCAAAATGGCCGACGCTTAGATGCACAGTGAGAAAAGAAATCATACGTTAAGGGGTTAATCGCTAGTCCACATATTACGCCTTAAAGTGGCTCCGGCGCTTAAAGTGATATTACGCTTAGAATAATGAAAATTTTCTTGTGGTCCCCTGAGCAAAACATGTCAATCTATACTATCGTAACATGACAATGACTATACTATCCACGAATAACCAAACTTTTCAGCACCGAGACGCCGGTGCAGGCGGAGGCGGACAGTCTCTGGTCTCTCCCGGCTCCTGTTTGGAAGAATTCCGCGCCAGACCGTTCATCGAGTGCCGTGGTTTGGGCACGTGCAACTACTTCTCCACCGCCACGTCGTACTGGCTGGCCACGATCAAGGAGTACGAGATGTTCCGTACGCCGATACCGCAGACGTTGAAGAGCGACCACACGTCGCGAGTGAGTCGTTGCGCGGTGTGCCTCCGCGGACATTCCACCGCTTCTTCGCAGGGCGGAACGTTGAAGCCTTTCCAGTCGAACGGCGAGAGGGAAACGGCCGGTAACATTCAGTACGCGCCGTACTATCCTCGTCAACCGGAGTATTACTATCAAAGGCAACCACCTACGGGCAGAGCGAGAGGATCGGGCAAGAACGTACCTTATCACTATCGGAAAAGAGGTCGACAACGTAAGCCGGAACGAACGAACGAGACACCGAATAAGGCTTAAAAAAAAAAGAAGGAAAAGATAATCGACGTGACAGGCATGATCCAGTGACGTTTGGAAGAGGAGCAACAGCGAGTCTGTGTGTATATAACAAGATACGTTCGGAAACCTGTTAGTTAAGTTATCCCGTGTCTAATTCCGTGTGGCGTTACGGTGATAACGAGAGGAGAGGCGTGCAGCCAATCGTGGTTTATTTTAATGCCAAAAAATACGACTATGGGGAAATAAACTTCGCCCGCTGAAACTGCCAATCG